CCTCACAATTACTATGTAGAGAAGCTACAGTCTGATTTTGTTTGGAAATTTGGGGTTTATTTGTTAAATTTCTTTGAACCAAGCTCAAAACAGAAGGCAATACTCAGGTGTGTCCTGACCTCTAGAGAGCAGAACACACAGTCTGCCCCTCATTTTAAACACCAGCCACTTGTGAATGCAACACAAGATCAAATTAACTTTCTTGGCAGTCTTGCGGTTCTGTTGAGTCACCCTGAGTTTACAGTAAACTTCCAACTCGGAGGTTTCTTCATGTAGCTGCTGCTTTCACAGTATCTTACAAATGGGCTTGTTCTCCTAATACAAACCACTTCTCTGGTCCCTGTTGCCTATCGCCTAACATGCTTTAAAAAATCCACAGAAATGTAAGTTGTCTTTCTGATGAGGTTACCAAGAGAGGGAAAATACCTTGACAGAAAAGGCTGCCAGAAATCAGCAAAGATTTCCACATCCTGTTGTAAATTGCAACAGGATGCAATTCACCTGGCAGGAGCTGATGTTAACTCCTTGTTCCCTGGATTGGTGAATATTTCTCCCTCTGTGTCTCTCTCCTGATGTGGTATTGGGTTCAAATTCTAGGTCCCAGTAAAACTGTATGGCTTCACAAACTAAAAGATTAAAGGTATGTTTCACAACGTTTATATTGAAAAATTCTCAAAATGGAATTTGATTTCCTCCTGGTTGTTGTTATGGATTACCAGTGGTTGGGGTGTCTGCTAATTTAAGATGGGCTGCACATTGTAAATATGCAAATATACAGGTGACAACCTGTAGACAACAAAAAGTTGTTGAATTTAAAGTGTCATAGAAGTTCGTCTAAAATATTGATTTTGATTTTGTTGCTTTCTTTGTTCATTCACACACCCTGAGCATGCATATATCATATATGTTATAGTGAACCCCAAGTTTCTCTTCAAAGAATCAATATGTCAGTATGTTCAGCTCTCTCATTCTTTTTTAAAGTTTCTATTCTATTTTAAAATTTAACTCCCTTGTAATCCCAGTAAACAATCTTCTCCACCGGTTCTAATCAGTAGTTCACATCTGCTCCCCCCCACATCCTGACTCATCCTGGTCACCTGATCACCCCGGCTACCTGCTCTGACATGCCTGTAGCCGTCCTTCCTGCCAAAACACCCACACCACCACTGGGGCTCTGATCAGTACTCTTTTTAAAATAGCCAATCAGGATTAATCTAGCTTGTGTGGTCTAACCCTAGCCAATAGGAAGCGACGCAGCAGTAGGGACAACCCCCATCAGGCATAAGTACCCCTTCCCCCTTTGTCCAATCATGCCCGGCCATCATGGCCCCACCCCTGCACCCCCCACCCTTCTATAGAAGTAAACCGCCTTGCTGGGAGGATTCATCTTCAAGAGTTATTTCTTTTGCAGCACTTACATTTTACTTTTAAAATATGGTTTATCATAAACTAATAATTTTTCATCATAAACCTATTATCAAATTGCAAGCTACCAAGAGCAGATACACGATACAAGTCCCATTCAGCTTTGCAGTCTAGGTTGGTCACAACTTCAATCTTGACCATGCATCAGGATCATGGGGAGGTCTTGTGAAGACACTTAATATTGTTGACCAAGTTTTTCTCTGATTCCCAGATCCCACTCCTGAGTTTCTGATTCAGTGGGTCTGAAGTAGATCTGAGAATTTTCACTTTTAACATTTCCCAGGTGACACGGAAGCTGCTAGTTCAAGGAGCAGACTTTGAAAACCGCTGATCCAGAATATCGGACAGTGTAGATATCACAACTTCTACAAACACTTAATGAAAGACAAACGGCAAGAATGTGGTGGGAAAACAGAGGGAAAAATATATGTAATTAGGGAAGCAAAATATGTGATTAGGGAATTGAAGTAAGTACTGATTTTGGACCTATCTTGGAATGTCCCCACAAAGTGTGAAGTGGCGTAGGTTTTTGCATTCAGTCTAAATCAGAAACATTCCTTTTATTCCCCCCCAAGATTTGCTGGAAATTATTTGGATTTGGTTGTTTTCCATCTTAAACTCGAAACTGTATCATCTACTTAGTCTAGGGAATTCATTTGTTTATCTGTTTCTTCCTGGGGCGGAACAGTGAGCAGCCTCAGGCTGACTTTTCTAGCTGCTGCCAAAGTACATTCCTCATTCACATCCAAGAAAGTGTCTCTTCACAACTAAGGGCCGGAGGTGGACATTTCAAATCCATCGTTACAAGCCAAAAATTCTAATTTTTCTTAAAGCATTTGATGTTGCTTGATCTTAAACTTTTGTTCAACATTATGTAGACCAAAGAACCACTGGGTTGACTAGGTTTTTCTCAGTCTGTTGTGTTGGAGGTTTTGCATTAACATAACAGTATGGTGGTAATGAAATTCAATTATCCACATATATCACAACCACAGTGCTATTGTGTCAAACAAGAAGAAATGACTATCTTCCATTGAATTTACTATGCTATAGAAAGAGGAGATACCTTGTTAAACCAGTAATCTAATTAAATCCCTAGTAGAAAACCATGTTTTTGCCCCTAAGACACATTAGAAGTTTGATGTTCCATTGATGGAGACTGGGGAGACATGTAGTCTTTTTGGATGCATAGCTCTGCCATTTATTTGATCTGTGAACTTGCACAAATGATGTGTTCATACATGCATGGCTTCATCCGTAAAATGGGTACAATTAAAGTTAAAATAAAAACTTGAGTCAGGGTTTGTTAAACAGAACACAAAACCCCAGCATATGGTTGGCATTTAATAAGTAATTGAGGGAAATCTGGATGAATTGCTATGAGCACCTGGGTCATTTTGCTTTGCTTTGTTTTCCCTATGAGTATGTTGTTTACAAATCCTTCTCCCATCTATCTTTTTGAGAGACCACACATTGTTCACCTGGCTATTGTAACAATTCTCACATGATCTCTGTTATGCCAAGTTATTTGTTAGAATAAATGGATTTTTTTAACGAGAAGCTTTTCATGAGAATGTGGTATTTGAGGGAGACAATGCAATGTGTCCTATGATTGAGTTCTATAAACTGGGTCCACTAAAACAGTATTAAGCCCAAGAATTTGTCCACACAAATCAATTCCTAGAACTACACATACCCTATCTCACAGGTGTCAATACTCCTTACCACAGCTACTGATATAGAACACAACAAATGAAGTATGCAATAGCCCAGTCACCAGATTTCTCTGCTCTCAGCTGTGATTCTCAGCTTGGGTTATCTGAAACATCATTTGATGGCTGGTCACCTCTGGGTCTCAGCAACCTAGTAACCTCTGCTTCCCAGGATTTCTGGGCTGAATTCCTCCACCTTTCTGATTTCCTTGTATGCATTCTCTTTCCATCTCTTCCTACCCCTCCAGAAGAAAGCTGGTTTCATCAATCTTTATCCATATACAGGTGGTAACACCTTCAGGGATGTATCTCTCTGTCTGGGAGTGTGGGTTGGATCAGACAGCAGGTAAAAACGGAGTGTAATGTGACATAGTCACAAGAGCCCACCCAGACAGTTCAGCTAAGTATATTTGAAAGCAAGAAAATCACATACTTAAAAATTATGCAAAGTGTGCTTCCTGTGTCATATTCCACATAGCCACCTTCTGTTTGCCAAGGTGCAGTTTGTCATCAGCAAATCACTAGCAATGCAAACCCAAGGGGCAGAGCAAAAATCACCACCTTGGAAGCCCTGCGATTGGCCAGATCTCATTCCAACATATGTTTCCTGATGCTCACAGGGGTCAAATTTATTGCGAACATTTGAAAATTAGGAGACTTCCCATTAAAATCAGATTTCCAACTTCCCTTGAAAAATCAGAGGATCTGACTTCAGCCCACATTTCAGTACACAGCAACTGACTGACACTGAATAGCAGCTGCTCTTTTCAGTGGGCAGAGCTCCCCAGTACGCTGCCGTCATCCTGCTTGGATACCTGCCAGGTCTCTTCTAGTGAATCCTGCAGTTCAGCATCATGTCATGTACAGTGATCTCTCAGGGAAGGCAGTTCAAGGCATCCTTTGCTCTGCCTCTATGCCTCTCGGGACCCAAGCATTTTACTTTTCAGTGAGAAGGCTGCAAGGCTTTTCAGCTTGAGCCATATTTCTCTGCATAGTGTCTTATCAAACAGGAAAAAAAGAAGGTTGTATTTAGGCAAATGTTCTTGTCTGCTCTTGCATTCCCCTGCTTTCAAAATCTAAGATTGGAAAGTGAATGAGGGGAAAAGGACAAAGAGCAGTCCCTCTTCTCTGCTTTGGTTGTAACTCAAGACTGTGTCTAACCAAGGCAAAGAAAGTCTTACCCTAACATAGTGGAGATGATTGTAGTTTGTGGCCAAAGCCTTGTAGTGGTATTTCTGGCGTTTCTCTCCGGAAACACCTGAAATGCAGGATAAAAGCTGTCCTGGATCCCAAATAATATATCCACATACTAGCAGGATTATAAAATACTGGTTTTAAAAATCCTGCATTAAAACAAACTGTCACTGTTGTGTCATTACTTGGTGTTAAAGCAATTGTAAATACTAATGGAAATGCAGGTGCGGAAAGCAGATGAGAGGACTCAGTTACAGAGTGGCCCTCCAGGTTAACAATACATGTTTCTCTTATGGTTTACAGATACCATCTCAAAATAATAACGTGTTAGCCTTTGACAATATGTCCAGGCGCTGCCTAGACTTTCCTTACCCCAGCTTGAGAAACACAAAATTTGCATAACAACAATTATTCCTCGATTGCACATTCCCCTTGAGATATCAGAAATCAAAAAAGCAAAGTACATCACGAAACTCTGCAATAAGAAAACAAGAAAACCAGTTTTTAAATGGGCAAATGACCTGAACAGGCACCTCACCAAAAAAGACATATAGATGTCAAAAAGGGTTACAGAAAGATGTTCAACATAATAAGTCGCTGAAGAATGACAACTCAAACAATGATGAGATACCACTATACACGGACTAAAATGACCCAAATATAAAACATCAAATGCTGGTAAGGATGTGGAGCAGCAGGAACTCTCATTCATTGCTGCTGGGAATGCAAAATGCCACAGCCACTTTGAAAGACAGTTTGGTAGCTTCTTGCAAAATTAAACATACTCTTACTATAGTATACAGTAATCACATTCCTTGCCATTATGAGTTAAAATTGGATGTCCACACAAAAACCTACCAACAAATGTTTAAATCACCTGACTCATAATAGCTAAAGCTTGCAAGCAAACTGTGGTATCTCCAGATAATGTAATATGTAGTGTGTAAAACAAGGCAGCTATCAAGCCATAACAAGAAATGGAGGAATCTTAAATAAATCTTGCTAAGTGAAAAAGGCCAATCTGAGAAGATTTCATACATATCATTCCAACAGTATGACATTCTGCAAATGGCCAAACTATAAGAGACAGTTTTAAAAATCAGTCATTTCTACCAAGGGTTTGGGAAAGGGAAAGAAGGAGGGATGAGTAGGTGAAGGACAGGGGACTTTTAAGGCAGTAAAACCACTCTATGTAACACTACAACATAGGATACATGTAATTACACATTTGTCAAAACCCACAGAATGAACCACACAAAGAGTGAACCTTACGTAAACTACGGACTTTGGTTAATAATATAGATATTGGCTTATCCATTGTTACAAATATACCACACTTACGCAAAATGTTAATAATAGGGAGAGCTGGGAGGAGAGAAAGGGGATATTTGGGAACTCTCTACTTTCTGTTCAATTTTTCTATAAATCTAAACCTGCTCCAAAGAAAGCCCATTAATTATTTTTAATCAAAGCATGCTAATTTCAGAGTTCAAGAGAGGAGGAGGAGGGGTTGGTTCTTAGCATTGTCTCTAAACATCATTTCACTCTCACTTTATTCTTCACAAAGTTTCAGAACAAACCAGGTTAAATTATATTTAATGGTGAATTGTTCAACAATTATCAGGTGTCCAATAGTGTCAGATACTAATAAACAGCCTTTTATGTCTCTTCCCTGAAGTATAACTTAGACAAAGATAATTTTGGCCATCTCTCTGTCTTTACTGAATATTTTACTCAAACTAATTCACACAGAAAACTCAGTACTGTTGAGTGTCCTTGCCAATTGACCAGAGAGCTCAGTTTCTAAGGAGATCCTAGAAGGAATGTTTTCACTCCCCCAAATATGCCATTTTGCTTAAACAGAACCACAGTAGCCAAATCTCAGCTCTCAGTCTGTAGAATATAAGCTGATTAATTCAGTAACTAGAACATTTTGTCATTCAGGCTACTTTCTTACTTTCTTGTTTACTGTTTTTTTTTTTTTTTTTTGAGATAGAGTCTCACTCTGTCCCCCAGGCTACAATGCAGTGGCGCCATCTCTGCTCATTGCAACCTCCACCTCCCGGATTCAAGCCATTCTCCTGCCTCAGCCTCTCAAGTAGCTGGGACTACAGGTACCTACCATCATGCCGAGCTAATTTTTGTATTTTTATTAGACACAGGGTTTCTACTAAAAATTAGTAGAAATGTTGGCCTGGCCGGTCTCCAACTCCTGACCTCAGGTGATCTACCTACCTCGGCCTCCCAAAGTGCTGGGATTACAGGTGTGAGCCACCATACCTGGCCTTCTGTACTCTTTCAACTCATGTTGCCTCCTCTAGCCCAGCCCAAACCACATTACATGCTTGTGTGCGCGCGTGCACACACACACACACACACACACACACTCACACACAGCCTCTGAGTCCAGTTCAGTAAAATATGAACTTTTTGCCATACTCTGAAAAATCAAAACCTGACCAGCAAAATCAATGTCTTAACCTCTAAGGCCAATTTCTGTATTCCATGTGATGTTAAGAATGAGCCAGGTACATCAAAGATTTGGAAAGTGAAAAGGGCTTGAAATAGAAAGCCCAGCTGGCTTCCAGTCGCTGGTTGCACCATCATCCCTCATACCAATTTCCCTCCATGTAGAAGTTAATGCTTACTGCCAGCATTGTATCAAAGGATGACTTTTAACGGCTGCACAGACTTGTGCAATAAATCCACAAAGAGCTAGATTGATAAGAAAGAGACATCAGAAATCAAAAAGCAAAGCATGCTGATTTCACAGAAAACTTAAAGATGTGAGATTCTCTTCTTTTATTTAAAAAGTCACCAACAAAACAGAAAACCTGCAATGTCTCATTTGTAATGCAAAGAATTTTCCTTTAAGAACAGGCTTGTTTCTAAAAGCTGAAGGAATATTAGCTGTATTTCTTTCAAACAATGTTGTTAACTATCTTCAGCTTCCAAATTTGTTATTGAAAAAAAATTTATTCTTCATGTCACCAGTTTTGACAGCTACATATGAAAGAAAGAAAGCCACTGGTGCAGTGGCTCACGCCTGTAATCCCAGCACTTGGGAGGCCAAGGCGGGCATATCACCTGAGGTCAAGAGATTGAAACCAGCCTGGTCAACATGGAGAAACCCCGTCTCTACTAAAAATACAGAATTAGGTGTGGTAGCACATGCTTGTAATCCCAGCTACTCAAGAGGCTGAGGCAGGAGAATTGCTTGAACCCAGGAGGTGGAGGTTGCTGTGAGCTGAGATCAAGCCAATGTACTCTAGCCTGGGCAACAAGAGAAAAACTCCATCTCAAAAAAAAAAAAAAAGAAAAGAAAGGTGAAAATAGCAATCGTTGCAATTCATAAAAATGTATACATCATTTTAATTAATGGTTTCATTCACCTGCCTATCCAACCTACTAAAAAGGAGAAAAGAGAATTTTGTTACCTATTGATTGAGGTTGGCATATGTCAACCCAAATGTACAGGTATTGTTAAACGGTAAAGCACATAGAAAATATGCCACAGAAAAAGAAGAGGCAGATAAATGTGTGGTGATCCACAAGCTAGTAATTGAGAGTTAACTGAGGAGTTGCCTGGCCTGGGGATCAGAAAACATGGATTGAAATTTTAGCTCTGTTCATTATTAGATAGGTAACTTTGGCCAAGTCCCATAACCTCAATGAAAATGTAGCTTTCTTTGAACCTATTAAATGAAAATAGTACCTTCTTTCACAGGGTTGTCATGATAGATAATTACAGTAAGACAAATAAAAGTGTGTAGACCTGACATATGGTAGGTAATTTAATAAATGTTATTTAATGAGAATGTTAATTCTCTAATTACCTATACCATTTCATATTACAACTTTCTAATTTTCATTTCTTTGCATGTTTGTTAAATTTTTGTTTCTCCCCTAAAAAAATCATCTATTTTAATATCTGCTGAGGTGGCCCCGATGAGTTTGTTAGAAATGGATGTAATTTTAACACAATTTATATAGGTGGATGGTCGATGTGATGAGCTAATGGTATAAGAAAATGCTTGCCTGAAATTTCAGGTTGTGTGAATCTTAAAACAGAAATATTTGGGGATGGCTCAATAGTTTTGTCTCTAGAGGCAGAATCTGAAACACCCTTTTGAAGTCTCCAAGGGACAATCTGTCCTTGTTCTTCTCGGAAAAGAAAGTGGAAATTTGCTACTCAGGGTCTATAGTAGAAAACTAAAAAAAAAAAAAAAAAAAAAAAAAGGCAAACAGACTGCTGCAAATGTCCGCAGGGTCCTCTGCGTTTCTTCCACTAAAGGATAAGCTTTTACTTTTTTTTTTTTGGCACTTTCAGTAGAAGTAATTAAACTTTGGCAACTTTTCGAATTTCTCTGTTTCTCTTCTCTTCCAGATGGAGGCGGTGGGAAGAGAGGGAAGGGGTCAGGCTCCCCTTCTGAGAGATTTGATTCAATACTTCTCTCTGAAAACAAAGATTTCTTTTCTGGTAGGTAGTGTGCCAGCTTTATCCCATTCTCAGGCAGAATGCCCATCCAGGAAGTAAAATGGATGGATATGAGAAAATAGGGGACTAAGGGGGACAGGAAGCATGTGTCATTGCACTAACCTTTAGCCAAGTGCCCAGACGCTTGAGACAGTGGGGGACAGGGAGGGAACAACAATATTAAGAGAAATCTTAAATGGATTTTATATCCCTGTTCTGAAGTCAGTTTCCAACTATTTCCTAAACAACCACATAATTAACACATAAAAGTGGGCTGTTGAAACATGCATCAGATAGTGGGTCCTTTGGAAGAAAATGTTTGTGCTGTGACCAAGGAAATCTGTGTTTGGAAAGATAAAGTCCAGAAAGGCTACAAAGTAATGTGGAGAAATAGATGACGGTGGAGGATGGCCGAATATTGAGGGATAAGAAATCCTGAGTTCTGAGAATGAAGAGAGATTACCTCCTCTGGTTTAGAGATGCCGGAAATTGCCCACATTCGGAATGCATGGGGACCTATACTGCCTTTATCCTATCATTGCTTCCTTCTCCACTGTAATTGAACCATTTGGCATGGGGCTTCATCTACAATTGCAAGTCAGGTCTACACCTAACAACATAGCAGCCAGGGTGAGAGGCCTGATTTAAGATGTATCGCTATGATGAATGAGTCCTCCATCGGTCCATTGCTGGGGCAACAGAGGTCCCAGCATTCACGTAGAAGGAACACTTGATATCGACTCCGAGAGATCAAAGCCCTAGCTGAAGTCCCTCTTCCCTATGGGCCTCATTTTTTTTTCCTACGAATGCATTTAACTTCAGAATTCTCATTTTCATATTCCAAAGACATTTTCCTAGTCAAGGGCTGATCTTTAAATGATTTCCCATCTTGTTTATAAAATAAAAATAACCCATGCCATTGAATCATGATTATGATTTCACAATCCTATTGTTAACTAGACCATTCATGTATTCCCCACTAGCTGGGTATTTTTCAACTCACTACAAATCTTTTCATATGCAAGGACTATATTAAACTTGACTGGAATTTGCCTAGAAATAACCCTAACTAAGTGATATGATACCTGGGTTTCTTCTCAAATCAGAGCTATATATTCTGTGACTCTATTTCCGTCCCTTTGAAATTCGGATGGATTTTTTATCAATTTCAATTTCATTGTCACTTGGTGAGCACACAACACCACAACATCAAAAGCTACCATTTATTGAGTTCTTAATCTCTCAATGTCCTAGAAGTTGTGCTGAGCACTTCACTTGATGATCAAGTTTAATCCTCAGAATAATCCTACGAAGAAGGAAATTTTTACAACAACCCCACTCCCATCATACAACATGAGATGAATTAAGAATGTAAAACTCAGACTCATTGTTAGTGTGGATTAGACTTCCTCTGGCAAAGGGATTATTAATATCTGCCAATGCCATGATATTATAAAGAAAGAAAAATGAACAGTAAAGAAGAGAAGGAAAGAAAGAAAAAGAAGGAAGGGAAGAAGGAAGGGAGGAAGAGAATGATCAAGATACAGTAACTACTGGTGGCTTACATTTAATGGAGACAATTTATACATTTTGCATGTCCAGGTAATCTAGTGGGAAGAGTATGTGGTTAAGCCAAGAGCCTGGGATCTGGCCTCAATCCATTTATTAAGCAGCTATGTCACTTAAAGTACACATTTAGCCTATCTATCTCCATTTCTTTATCTATTAGATGGAGTAATGATGATAATTTCCCTAAACCACCTCAAAATAAAATAACATGGTTAATATAGAAGAGGTGGGAGAAATTATAACTGCTATTAAATGGAATGTGTCATTACTGAGGATTCTGCCTAAAACACCAGTTAAAACGTCTGCTTTTCTTTCCCTTTGCCCTCCGTAGGTCATCACTTGTGACTTCTTAAGTCTTAATTGGCAGGGCAGAAACTTGTCTGTCTTTTGAGAAACAGAAAGAACCTTACTCATATCTTTTTTAAAAAGCATTTATTGGTTTATTCATTTATTAATTCATTGAATTAATTAACCCACTTGCACCCAACAGAAGCATGATTAAAGCCTAGTTTTACAGTCACATTTTTGTGAAATGCACTACCTGTTTTCAAGCCTTTAATTCTAATTCAGAATATTTCCAATAAATTCAAAATAATTGCATTATTGGTATAAGCAATGCATAATTGGAAAGATAAATATATTTTAAAAAATCAAATAATGTATTGCCCAATCACTTTCAAAATTACTGACTGAGAATTGGATAACCCTCAACCGAGTGCTGGTTGAGCCTATAGAAGAATCCACTCATTATTAATCAAATCTGTTACCTTCTTTTGACCAAATGACTACTGGTGGGCAGACTTTTCCCCTATATTATTACCAACATCTCCTTTGACAACAAATGACACTGTCAGCTGTTTGCTCCATAAAGGTCTGGCTGGAGGTTAATGCAAATAAGATGAAATGGAATGGTTTTAGTTACCACCAATCCTAGGGTATTTTAATACCCAGGAGGGTTTTACAAAAGGAGAAGTCTGGAGAAATTACAAATGGAGTCCAGCAGGCTCTGGACCCAAGGAGAATATCAGAGCTTCCAGCAAATACTGTTAGAGACTTCCTCCTCTGCCTTGATTAAATTAGAATCAGCTCTCCTAGGTGTACTACAGAAGTGTTTAGAATGTTTAAGATTTAAAATGCTTTGGGACTCTGCCACTGGAAGAACAAGTCAGCCTAATTTTCTCTCTTTTATATTCTCTGATTTTGACATTGCTTAGTTCTAAAAGTAGATTCAGAGTTGCTTTGGAGGTGAGGGTAGGAATAGGAAAAGCAATGCCCCACTCCCAGATTCTTTCTGATTCAGCTTCCTTTCCTAGGAACCAGTTTCTAGGCTACAGAGATCTCTCCTCATCAATCTATCTAAGGTCCTTCTGTAGGAAAACAAAAAGCAGATTGTTTGAGTGACAGAGTCAGCCCATCCCATGCTGCCAGAGGATGACTATTCCCGGAACACAGTCTAGGAGTATACACAGAAGTGACCCGACAGGCAGGTTGTCATACGCCAATGATCAGAAAACTTCATCCCATACGGTCTTTTTGCAAGACCTTTTAGAATATTTTGGGTACTTCATGAAGTGTATTTTGGTACTATCGACATGTACCACCTGTCTGATAATATTTGTGTTTCTGGAAGACTCGCTGTGTGCACAAGGTTTAGTGCACAGTGGAGAGATTCAAGCCTAATATTTGAAAGAAATAACCATGTCAATTTAATCACTTTCCAGACTAAGCATTCATAGCTCCAGCAGTGACAGGAAACATACTTTCAAAAGTCCTCACAAATTTGTTAACTTTCTCCAAACCTATTTCAATTTGTTCACATCCTCCAAGGATATTGCCCAGAACTGAACACATTCCATACATGCTTAGATCAGTCATCATTAGAAAGAAGCAATCCCTTTTTACTATTCAAAAATTAATTTAAAGTTAAATCTAAGATGGCAAATCAAGTATACCATCATTTTGAGACTAAAAGTAGTGTCAATTTAAGTATCCTATATATAATTCAGGAGGTATTTTAATAAGTTTTTTTTCAATGTGGGGGCTTTTATTAGAAGCACATTCTCTTATGTATCAAGCACCTATGAACCCTAATTATGATATGTAAAAAAGGTCTAGGATATTGTCACCAATTTGCTATTTACCAATTGGATCTTGGGCAAAAAAAAAAAATAGTTGTTTACCACCACTGTTTAGAATAAGCATAGAATTGGGACTGATGATTATCCCAATGGGAATCTATCTAGGGAACAAGAACTTGGATACTGGGTAAGAATGAAAATTACTGGCAAGGATAGGAATTGATAGCTTACTAGATCATTGTGGAACATGATGATATCACTGCTTATAGGCACTTACCCAAAGGAACACCAATTTGCCAAGCCATTATATATGCATTCAGTTATCAATCCATTCATGTACTTCCCATTGCATTTCCCAAAGGATTTGACATACTTAGAGGAACGTCTAACAGAAGTAAAATCAAAACATAAAAATAAAGCCAGAGACAATGCCATTTACAATAAGAGATTGAGACCAGAAAGAAAAAGCATAAATATAGAGACAATTTGATCCTACACAGTTAAAATGTTCAATGGCAAATTTGTCCCTGGGCTGGCTTTATGGCAGCTAAAACAGAATTGCAAACATCTTCAGTTGCATGATTCACACAGTCTTTAAAGAGAAAATACAACAAATTATTAGGGGAAGAACATATGACTATAGAATATTTTCTATGGCAGATAAAACAACGTAATGCTAGTAAGTGTCCCTTTGGGACTCTGGCTTTAAAACTAAGTAAATTTTTTAAAAACTAAGTAAAACTAGGTAAAAGAAAGTCAGCTTAGTGTGAAGCTAATCACTATTCTCCCAACAGGATTATCAACATCTCTCAAGAATCATTATGAGACATAGACCCTTAGCATTGAAAGAGATATTAAAGCTAATAATCTATTTCAACCTCCCCCTCAAAGCTGGAATATCATACACCATCCCATTACATTTGAGAAATGGCTAACCACTCTGGAAAGCATTCAATAGCCTACTACTTTCTCAAGGCATCTGCTCCATTTTCAGATTTCTTGTTAACATCAACTTCATCCTTACGCTGACAATTCAACAGTTGACCTAATTTTACTGCCTAAAGGACAACAAAATCTAAGTTGAATTTCTGTATTTAAATATCATTAGCACACCTAAAATAAGTCACCTCAATGTAATATTCTTAGTATAGGTGCATCCATGTTCCAAACTGACCCACTGCTTGTGAGAACACTCACAGCAGTGTTCCAACAGTGGGAAGCATACATACAGAAGTAAAAGCTCTAAAAGAGTGATCATTAACTCTGGCAGAAGTCATTAAGGATAGTACTACCTCTGCCCTAGCTGGAAAACAAAATGGTCTCACTTGTTGACAAGAACAGTGATGGACAATTGCATTGCTCTACATTCTTTTGGGGCTAGTCATGGTGGCTTCTGTATCATTGCTAATATTGATTTTGCACTTAGATCAAACAGGCAAGGTGGAACTGGCTATGTTTTGCATTAAGGAAAAAACTACTTAGATAACTAAGGTCATTCTCCATAGCTTCTGTTGTTCTCTTGGCAATTGGTGTTCTTGGGTCCAAAGCATCTTACATGAACTATTAATTGTCATTTTAGTCAGTGTCAAGACTATGGTCCATTGCATTCTACTCGGAGTTTTAAATGCTTCTTTCCAGCTTCTCCCTTATTATATGATTACCATGACAATACAACTAAAAAGTCAATATTTCAGCTGGGCACGGTGGCTCAAGCCTGTAATCCCAGCACTTTGGGAGGCCGAGGCGGGTGGATCACGAGGTCAAGAGATCGAGACCATCCTGGTCAACATGGTGAAACCCCGCCTCTACTAAAAATACAAAAAATCAGCTGGGCATGGTGGCACGTGCCTGTAATCCCAGCGACTCAGGAGGCTGAGGCCGGAGAACTGCCTGAACCCAGTAGGTGGAGGTTGCAGTGAGCTGAGATCATGCCATTGCACTCCAGCCTGGGTAACAAGAGCGAAACTCCATCTCAAAATAAAATAAAATAAAATAAAAATTAAAAAGTCAGTATTTCACAATACAGTTGACCATGGTGACAATCCTCTAGCAGTGAATATCTGAAACCGTGGTCTTCTCTGAACGAGTCAACCCCTCATAAGTAAATGACAAAACCAAGGACCAAAGAGACCAGATTTACAGGCAACAGCCAGACAAAATATGATGATAGAACTCTGACCCACATAGGAAGTCCAGAGAGCTACACTACAACCTCTGAGGCAGTCAGCTCAGGATGATCAGGACTGTATCAACGCGGAAAAGTGCCTTATTTTTGTTCCCTCTCTCCTATCTGTTTCAAGACAGACTAGAGAAAGCCAAATACCGTCCTCAAACCAATCACACAAGTTGCCCCACTTCTATTTATCCGGTTTCACCTTGCCTACAATCTCCAATTAGAACACCAGATTTTCCCATTTATTCACTTATAAAGCTTTCCATCGTATAACTACTTCTGTATCTCTGCCAAACACAAGTGATAGTCGCTGACTCCCTTGATAAAGCAAGCTCTGAGTAAGTAACCTCTGCCTCTTTTCATTTGAATGTTCTTCACTTATTTGCACAAGACATGAATACTGCATGTCCTTCTTAACTATCCTCTTGAGTTCTATTATGTACTATACTTAGGAGCTGTATGCTTATGAGTTTAACTGCTTTATGGCAGAAGATGCCTTATACTTCCAGTGTTAAACTGGTAAACTGGCTCTGCGGTCAGGGGTGATGAAGGGAAAGAGCAAGAAAAGCCCTG